TAAGACCGATACTTTTATTAAATTACGGATATAGACCCAATACGTACAGGACGCGTATCGGTGAGTATCGGATACAGATACGTATCGGATACGCGGATACGGTATCGAGGTGAAGTATCGGTGCAACATAGCTCCCTACTGCTCGTGAATTTAGTTCATATGCAACAAGGTATGCTTGTTTAAAAAAATCGCCTAATGTCTATGACAAACATTATTTTGTTTGCTAATCTAAGCAATTTGCACATTGCAAATGTTCGAGACAGACCTTTCTTATTTACAAAATTGACTTTTTACCTACAGAACGTAGTTTCTTATATCTTAATATCTCTAACTTAAATTGTATATACAAGATCGTAGTAACACTTTTTGTTGTAGTGTACCCTAATGAACTATCCATATATTCCGCGTAAACGCGTATTGATTCATACCACTTTTTTTTTTTTGAAAAGGATGGATTCATACCACGTAATCAGTTAGTAAAGATGGATTTGAGTGATAGCCAACTCATAGCTACGCAATATAATACCAGTAATAAATGACCTTTGTCCTTTGCAAAATTTGGTTCACACACCGCAACATATATTCCAACTTGTCAAGACTTGTTGTCAAATACCCACCACCGACTAACTCCCTTTTGAGAGTATTTATGTTCAAAGATTCTATAGGTATTCCAAAATGTACCCCAAAATGTACCCACGCCTGAATTGTTTGTGTACACAGGAAATTCGTTTGAAATAAGTCAGAACTTTCTGTTCAAATGTCTGTGTACACAGACGAGGTACAGATTGAGGTACAAATTGGGGTACCCAAGCAAGAGTCATTTATGTTTTTCTAATGATCATAATTCATGACTACAAAATGAAGAAAGCAAAACAGATTAAGGAATTTAGACAAAAATGCAAACGGCCAAGAAGTATTGAGGTGGTGCCACCCTCGGGAAAAAAACTATAGTAAATGGACATCGTGAAGGTTTTTTTTATGAATAAATTTCACTTTTTATCCTAAGAATTTTGGGTCAATTCCACATTTAGTCCACATCTTTCACTTTGTCTACTTTTGATACATGACTATTGTGTTTTCGCTCATATGTGGTCCTTCCAGCATTGTTTCCGATGGTTAAAATTGCCGGAAAGGGACCAAACGGTCAAAAACCATTAGTCAAAACCAAAAGTGGACAAAGTGAAATACGTGGACTGGAGGTGGAATTGATACAAAACTTGTATAACCAAAAGTGAAATTAATTAATTTTTATTGTGAAGCCTTTTCACACACTTTTTACCGACAAAAGGTGTGAAGGCTTTTGCTATGAGCCTATCAAGCTTGTTTACCGACAAAATGTATATTTCATCTGAAACTCATAATTATAATTAAAAAGATGTGCACATGAATTTTTACACTATTTATGAAAATTCAGGGTCGGGTTCGGTTTTTCCCAGGTTGTCAAATGTGGACTCTTGTACTAGTATTAAATTTGGACCTAAAAAGGAGCCTAAACATGGTGAACGATCCAAGTTTTTCCTTTTTTATACTCCGTAATCCGTATGCTAAAAAAGTACTGTTCGTACATCGTACAACCTATGCTGGTAACACAACCTTAAGTCAACAAGATACAAAGGATGGGACGGCTTGAGGAACAAAATTTGCGGTAAACTTCAAGGTTTTGATATTAAAACTATTTGAATGGGATGAAATTGATGAATTGGACAAATTTCCCAACCCTAGAATAATTAATTACTCCGTATATTAAAGATATAAAGTATTTTACTCCCTGTTAATCAAATGAATAAATAACTAAAATTGAAATCACCAATAAATTAAGTTAGAACGAACCTAGAATAGGCGTTTCGTCTCTTACTAATTTTTACTACGTATTACACATAATACCTCATGCATGTTTGGTAGACTTGAATCTCCAGCTTCTAATTTTTATATATAATATCTATAAATTTTTAAAAAAATAGAGTTTCTAATTACATGTTTAGTATGATAATTGTTTTTGGCACAGATAAAGTTTTATTTTAGAAGTTGTATTGAGTAGCACTTAAGTACTTAAGTGAAAATGTGAAATAGTATTCTCTTCTTCCTATTCTTCTTCTTTCCCTTCTGTCCCTTAGCTCGGTGTATAACCCTTTTGTAGCATGAACTTGATTATCCCCCATTTTTTGTATTTTTGCTTGAATCTTTTTCTCTCCTTTCAAAACTGTTTCAATTGTTTCAACGAGGTCTTGTCGTGCTTCCTTCTTTTTCTCACTTTCGCTTTTTTTGACATTCTATTTCTCTACATTAGATTTGGGCACAAAGTTTTAGGATGAAATAGTAGGGGTAATGAATAGTGTAGAAAGAATAGGAGAGAGTGTGTAAAAGTATGAAAGAGAAGATAAAAAGTGGAAAAAGTAAGGGTAGTTGAGTATTTTTAAAAGAAAAAACTTACCAAAAAAAGAAAATGTAACAAACTTTTAAATACTTCCCAAAAAGAAAAATGTAGCAAACTTTAGAATGCGGAGAGAGTATAATTTTTGACATAGATTTCATTCAATGTTATTGTAACTTTTCAAATTCATTTTCTTATTTGAATCTAAAATGACATACTTAGTATTTTTAAGCAATCTTACACTACTACATTTTCGAGTCTTTTGTAACAGCAGAATTCATTACATTTGGTCCAAAAAACCGTTACGTTGGACTTATTGTAATAGTTTCTCGTCGTTACATTCGCTCGCGTTGCATTTTCTCAAATATAACACCTTGTAACGAAATTTATGACCAACTGTAACAGTTTTTTTAACATGCCACAAATGTTACAATAGATTGAGCACAAATGTAACAATTTTCAACATATACATATGTAACGGTTTTTGATAATACACATGTCCTGATCAATTGTCAAATGTAACACTTACTATATATATATATATATATATATATATACACACACACACACACATATACATATACACACACATACATGCATATGTGTACAACATTATTGATTTGCACGCGCATTAGAAAATATATATAAAAACTCAACAAATATTTCATTCATTAAATGTGAAATACATTGTACATATCAATCTATCAAGTCTAAAGGAATGAGCTTAACATACAAAAACTGTAGCGAGAAAAATACAAAGCAAATGTCTAGGTATAACATTCAAACAATATAATCAATCTGCCAAGAAAGCATGTGTGCATCATTTGGTTCTATTAAATCCTCATCCTCAAGTAAATCTCTCCCCTGCAAAACAAATAATACAGATAATTAACACTCATGCTTTTTATTGTTTCATATAGGTAACCAATATATTCTTTACCAAGAAGGCTAATAACAAATTAAAAGAAATATAGAAAGAGTCTCTTCATAGGGAGGGAGTTGGGCTCAACCTTGGTCATTAAAGATTATTTCCAAGGCTAAGCAATAGGTTCAACAATAACTAAGAAGCGTATAACATAGTGAGGACCCTCATGCGTTATTAGGAAAGATTTAATACAAAAAAAAAGATAATGCCACTGAAAATCATCCTTTGTTGCCGGACACTTCTTCATTCTCAGGGAAAACAAATTGAAGGTCATCGTTAAATTGTCCCTATAGACTTGTACTAGAACAGCAGCTTTGTTCACGAATAGCCCTAAAATTGCAAACACCTGGTGGAATTAAAAAGAATGCAGTTAGAATACTAAGATAACTCCCACAATTTATATATTGATGCAGGAATAGCAAACCTGGTTAATGAAAGAGCAATAACACTACTAATCCTTAAAATCTTGACTTCTAATGCCAATTTTCTTTTCTTTCTTTTTCATGAATATTTCTGGAACCATCTCCCTTGTGAGCATATGAAGATCTCCACATGTCGGCACAATAGTTGTAAGTACAGACAAGTGAAAAACACTGATGTTGTGAAGCTTAGAGCAGCCTCTGGTGAAAATATAAGTAAGAATTTAGTTTTGAAAAAAATGATGTACTCTCTTGAAAGTGTATGTAGTAATCTTTTGAAAATTAATGTCTACAATTTCAAGAACATGCCACGTTCTTGTAATACATATGTTATTGTTTCAAGACTAGTTATTGATCTTATTTATTACAAATTAAAAGAATTGAAACTTCTAATTGAAGTTTATAATCTAAATAGTTTAAGCTTTATCGATCGTAAAAAAAAATCAACGTTAAACAATTAAATAAATTACAGTGAAATCGAATATGAGATTAATCAACCTAAGAAGCAAGATTGACATACCTCTGCAGTTTAACTTGAAATCATCCAGGATTAACATAGACCGCAATTTCCATTTTTTGGGTACTTATAAAGAGCAACACTGCCGAAAAATTCCAAAATCTGAAACGATCAACATTAGTTATTGATATTCCGTGAATTCCAGAGATTTAAATCATTCGATTACAGTTCTTCCTCTTAACATGAGTACATATTGTGTGTCAATAAAAAAGTTTAATTAGGACAATGATCTACATTAGTACTATGGGAGACGTGACCTTGGATGATCTGAGATAAAGTTCTCAGATGAGCACGATTGAGTTTGCATTTACCAGATGAGCAAAATGTATATTTCACTGATTTGTCTTCACTTCCAAGAGTTGTAGATGACCAAACCATGAAACACAGTATGTTCCTAGCTTGGTTTAGAGCTAATCAAATGTATTCTCATGCGCGAGATCTCACCTACGCTGAGTTCCCTCAAAAATTCGTTTGGGACTCAAAAAAGAGAGAATGGAAAGAAAGGCAAAGACGGTTTTCCATTGGACGAATAAATTATGTCCCACCTGGCAGTGGAGAAATCTACTACATGCGTTGTCTTGTGAATGTTGTGCGTGGAGCAACATGTTTCCAAGATCTTAGAGTTTTTGAAGGACATGAATACTTAACGTATCGTGACGCATGTTATGCCCGAGGATTACTCTATGATGACAAAGAATACATAGACGCAATAGATGAATCAAGTTTCTCTGTTTCTGCCCACACACTCAGGTATTTTTTTGTGACCATTTTAACATCAAATTGTGCCTCCCGTCCTGAGCACATCTGGGAACAATGCTGGAAATTCTTTTCGGATGACATACTATATAGGCAACGTCGTTTGATGCAATATCAAGGTATTTCATTTCTCAACAATTGCTTTGAATACTATTGATATAATTTTAATAATAACACTTACACAAAAGAAATATATCATATTCATCAACATAAAACAATTCGTTTTTTTTTGTAGATTTAACTCTAACGGACGATGAGATTAAAAATTACACATTGATTGAGATTGAAAAGCTATTGCAAAGCTATGGTAGAAGTTTGAGAGACTATCATCCCATGCCATTTCCATCAAATAATGTCACATCAAATGGAGTAAATAGGTTAATTTTTGAAGAAATGCAATATGACAAAAATGAAATGAAGACCCTACATGAAAGCCTCATTTCAAAGTTGACATTGGAACAACGTAATGTATATGATAAAGTCTTCAACACTGTTCAAACTAACAAAGGAGGGGTTTTCTTTGTTTACGGTTATGGGGGGACAGGAAAAACTTTTATTTGGAAGACATTATCAGCTGCATTGCGTAGCAAAGGTGAGATTGTTCTTAATGTCGCATCCAGTGGAATAGCCTCTCTTCTTTTGCCAGGAGGGAGAACAGCTCATTCCAGATTTGCAATACCTATAAACATCAACGAGGATTCAACTTGCAATATAAAACAAGGAAGTCAATTGGCAGGGCTCATCCGAGCTTGCAAACTTATTATCTGGGATGAGGCTCCAATGGTTCATAAGCATTGTTTTGAAGCGCTTGATAAAAGCATGCGGGATATATTGCATTTAACCAATCCAGTGAGTTATACAAAGCCATTTGGGGGGAAAACAGTTGTTCTTGGAGGTGATTTTCGTCAAATACTGCCAGTCATTCCAAAAGGATCTCGACATGACATTGTACGTGCCACCATTAATTCTTCTTATCTATGGAAGCAGTGTGCAGTTTTGAGGTTAACTAAAAACATGAGGTTAGAGAGCACTAAGGATCCAAATGAATATGAAGAAATCAGGAAATTCGCTACATGGATTGCAGGCATCGGTGATGGTATGATTGGAGAACAAGTTCACGGATGTGCAACAATTGAAATTCCAAATGATATCTTGCTCAAATATGACGGGGATCCAATAGCTGCAATCGTAAACAGTACGTACCCTGATTTCTCTAAAATTGGTAATGACCCTACATATTTGGAGAATCGAGCAATATTAGCTCCCACCCTTGATGTTGTTGATTCTATCAATCAATACATGATGTCACTCAATGTACAAGAGTCAAAAACATATCTTAGTGCTGACACTGCTTGCCAATCTGACACCAATGCGGATGTCTTAACTGATTTACACACTCTAGAATTCTTAAATACCCTTAAATGTTCTGGAGTACCAAATCATGAATTGACATTAAAGGTGGGAACTCCAGTTATGTTGCTGCGAAATATGGATCACTCAATGGGTCTGTGTAATGGAACGAGGTTGGTCATTACAAGACTTGGATCTCATGTGTTAGAAGCGAGGATACTTACCGGACGAACAGCAGGGCAGAAAGTGCTCATTCCAAGATTAAATTTGACCCCTTCTGATGTAAGAATGCCATTCAAATTTCAGAGAAGGCAGTTCCCTTTAGTTGTCTCCTATGCAATGACTATCAATAAGAGTCAAGGACAATCCTTATCACATGTCGGTTTATTCTTAAAAAACCCGGTTTTCTGTCATGGTCAACTCTACGTCGCAGTGTCCCGAGTTACTAAACGTGAAGGCCTCAAGATTTTGATAACCAACAATGATGGAACGCCCTGCAATTCAACCATCAATGTAGTGTATCCAGAGGTTTTCCAAAATGTGTAATTCGATTTTCAAATGGGCTTTGTTTACTTAGATAAAGTTTGTATTTTCCAGACATTGAAATAGCAAAACCTTAGTGAATATGTATCATTATTGTACCGTGCATCGCACGGGTACAATACTAGACCGCAATTTCCATTTTTTGGGTACTTATAAAGAGCAACACTGCCGAAAAATTCCAAAATCTGAAACGATCAACATTAGTTATTGATATTCCGTGAATTCCAGAGATTTAAATCATTCGATTACAGTTCTTCCTCTTAACATGAGTACATATTGTGTGTCAATAAAAAAGTTTAATTAGGACAATGATCTACATTAGTACTATGGGAGACGTGACCTTGGATGATCTGAGATAAAGTTCTGTGACCTACGGTTTAAATAAACAAGGTATGAAACAAACAAAAGAAGGTAAATCTTTTTAAAAAAGGAAATCATGTAGAACAAAAGGAAGAAACTAAGGCAGATATACTTTCTTTATTGGGAAATAATACCTTTTCAATGCTCACACAGTTTGATAACTTGCACATGTCTTTATAGTGTACGTCTTTTAATACATGCTACATAGAATACTTGTCATATTAGATAGAATGATAATAATGGTTGCAGATCACACATTAAATTTACATGTGTCTTATAAATATATACGGAGTCTTAGTATCTTAGCTCATATCACTTCACACATTTGGTTACTTTTTATAGTTGGTTGATAGATAATATGTTTGAGAATTTCATTTTTCACAACCAAATATCATTCAAATCCATACTAATATCTGAAGCATACATTAAACCAGAACAAATATTAACCAAAATGATCATTATAAATTTGCTCATAGCCTTAGGAAGAGACTATTATTTTTAGTTGGTAGACTTTTAGTTGGAATATACTATAAAAATGTTAGGTGATGTGATTATGCTTCTCTTTGGAAGTACATATTTTGAACAAATATATAAGCATTGGATTTGAAGAAAAAAAATTATATACTCTCATGATATGAAGGTAATCTATTGAGATATTAAAGTCTACAATTTCGGGAACACCTCATGTGCCTGTGAATACAAGTATTCTTCTTCCATGAACAGTTATTCGACCTTCATTATAGATCAAATGAATTGAACTATTTTTATACAGCTTTAGAATTTAGATAGTTAGGATTTATCAATTAATATGAGTAAAAAGGACTCAACGATGAAAGAATCACATTGATTATATTGCAGTTAATTGTAATGTTAGATTCATCAAGCGAATAGGCTAGACCAGCATACCTCTGAAATTAAAGCCGCAACCATCTCAGAATGATGTAAGTTATTACAATTTATGAATTGATCAATCTATTTCTCATAAATTGAGATTCACTTTACCTTGTCAAGAATCCACCATTTTCATCACATAAGTAACACGGTGCTTGAAGGCAATGCAAACTTCACTTTATATTTACCCGTTCTGCCAGCAAAATAATCCCAGCAACAATATAATTCACCTCAGTGAAGTCTACATCAAATTAGATATTTTTACCAACAAATCACCTCAGTGCAGCAACTAGGGCGACTTTCTGGGTAGTGATACTTCACCCCACCTTTGATATACGTCTATAACTTATGTGATATTGGTGACACATTACAAAATGAAATCAAACAACATTGTTTTCTTTCCTGCTCATATATAATTTTCTTACTAAATATTATATATAAATATTATAACTTTGTAATTGCATCTCTAAAATGAATGCATGTCTGAATCTCAACCTTTGAACCCTTAGTCAAGATTTTTTTTTTCTATTGATGAAGAAACAAAGGTTGGTTAACTTTTCACAGTTGAGCTCCATTGATTGTCCCTTTTTATTGGCATTTTGAGGAATAATAAGTAGTAAAAAGTAAAGATGTAAAATAAAATGATGTTAAATTTTAACTATTCTATCTTCTTTATTATACTATATATATATATAGGAACTACAAACACAAATATAAAATGTAAACAGTTTAAGATTCTTTCAATCAAAGAATTACATAGCTCACAGTAAACAAAATATAAGAATCATCAACCCATTAACCAAAGGAGCAGGATTGACATACCTCTCAAATTGAACTTGAAATTATTATAGAATCATTATTTTCAATTTTAATGGAAAAGAAATAGCACAGATTATGTTATATGCAAATTCTTTTCAAATAAAAAAAACTAGTCAAGAATGTAAACCAAGAAACTTAAATATCAAGTTTTCATTCGGAAATGTTGCAAGGAACACAATAACATCTTTGGTCAAATCATGAAGACGGGAAGAAGAAAAACAAGTGCTTTTCTAGTTTAGACATTTCTTCGAACACCTCTTGTGCAGAACTAACATAGGGTTATAAAGCAACCTCCTAAACCACAGATAGCAAAAACAAGTTTATACTAGTGAAGATAAACAAAGAATGATTTTTGATATATAACCTTTGAGTTTCTAAAATCAACTGTATTAAACCAATCTACAAATGAATAAAGAGAAAAGCATAGCAAGAAATGACCCCAGATTACTAGAAACCTAAGAAAATGCCACAAAAATTAAGAATCGAAATGAAAAATTCTAGGGTTAAGTCGTGCTAAGTTTGAACGAGTTGAGGAATATTACGTGCCGACTTGCTTTTGAGAAGTAAATCCGCAAATAAAGCAAAAGAAGATGGGAAGCTAGAAGATGTGATTCATAGTTACTTGGCTTGGATAGTGAAAGAGGCAGATGAATCTTCAACCGGAGAAGATCGAGTCCTCGAAGCCATTCTTAGAGAAAAACTCTCTCATTGAAGGGGTAACAACTTATACAGATATTGATTTATTTGGCTTCGTTAAGGTTTTCATTTTATTTCTAATAGGAAAGCTTTGGTTTTGATTTTGGGGTTTTACTGATAATTTAATAAAAGCGTGGAAACCTAAATTTTGGGAAACTGGTATGCCGCTACTTTTTTTAGGTAGGTTTGAAAGTGTTACATTAAGCTTTAGTAAATGTAACACTTATTAAACTAATGTAACAATGTTTGCGTAATTATACAAGTGTTACATTTGGTCGGATTAAATGTAACTATTATTGAGTAAACGTAACGGCACACTTAAAGTTGTTACAATAGATCATTCTTTTGTAACATTTTAAACAAATGTTACAATTTTTCTGTTACATTAGACTCGAAAATGTAGTAGTGTTATGTTATTACTTATTGTGATGAAAAACTTACCCTTTTGCAAATACTAATAATGTCATGTTTTTACATATGAAAATATTATTTCGACGCATAGTGCCATTTTGGTGAAATCAAGATGGTAATTACAAAATTAATAATGCCATGTTTTTCCATAGAAAAACTTACTCTCTTGCAAATGACACTAACGCATGACAATGAAAATATTCATTCCCTTTGCAAATACCCTATTTTTTAAAAAGGAAAAACTACTCATGTTAATATCATTTGGATTGTTACATCAAACTCCAAGAGACCAACACTGATAACAACTATCTATAATCAACTATCACCATCACCCCTACGGCTAGACTTACAAACAATCACCCCCGAAAAGAGCAATATGAATCGCTAACCACCCAACAGGTGTGACACAACAATCACTGGCCATGTAGATCCTTCTAACAACATAATACATAGCAGAATTGACAATCATTATTGTAGACCTAAAATTAAACACATCAACAAAAAAGAGAGAAACGTAAACAAACATAATGCAAAAATAAAATCATAAGAAATAAAATACGGAGTGACTGATAAAACCAAACTTTTTCCTGTCAGTTTTCTTCAAACATCATCTTTCAAGCCCCGACACATTGATCGCTCCAAGGCGGCGGTTCAGGAGGGGGGCGTGTCTTCGATCTGTCTTCTCTCTTGTTCAGCCCTTTATCGCTCCCCATCTGCTCGCCACCCATGCCGCCTCCTAATACGTCTTCGCCCATGATAATCTATAGATTGTGGCTTTGATCCACCAACTCCTCCATTGGACCAATGTAGAAAGCTTGGACGCACGTTGTCTCCTTGAAATCCATGAAGACCCAACCCCTTCCTGCTTGTATATCTCACTCTTTCCTACGCTGATAATCGTCGAAGCACAAGAAGAGAAAAAACACCCACACGATCAGTGGCGATCGAAGGGAAAACAAAATCCTATGTAGAGGGACACAGTCACAACCCTCTAGAGAGAGAGTTACGATTCAACTTATTCGGTTAATCTTTAAATTGTGTGTTTATGACGAAGTGAAAATACCCTATTTATAATGAAAAAATACACAAATATTACTACTTCATACCCACTAACAAAAATATGACTTCCTGCTCACACGTGTTCCATACTAATAGTCACTTTTTTGTAATCCCATGAAAATGTCAAGATAGAAATAAAATTCATATCCACTGTTTAATACAAATGTCATTGAGATGATATAATGGCCAGATTACATTTATTGCACTCTTAACAGATTTTAGATCGACAGTGATGTAGTCGGAGATGGTGGTCTCGGAAGAGGCAAGAGCGGCAGTGACACGGATCCAACGATAGGCGGCAACGCTAGACAATGTGATTGATGTGTCTAGATGTGGCGACATGGCGGAGTCTAGTGGCGGCTCCTGTTGGTGGCAGCATCCGGCAACGACGACAATTAGTGTAGGCAATTAGTTATGTACAACTTTTTTATTATTCTGTTTTATAGTTTTGATAAAGAAATTAGGGGTTTAATCAAGGGTAATCTTATCTACTCATGTCATTTTACTGTTATGGAATCACACAAGAAACATTGAACTCTTATTATTGCATTTGTATCATGTTTTAGAGACATATTTGACTCCTCATGGGCCCATTTTTATTGTGGAATGTTTCAGTCGAAAATTGAACGATTATGGAGTTTGATGGTACTCCATAAAATTTTCAAACAGTTCTACTTCTCTCGAGTTTTCCTCATATGCAATGATATCATGAAGAAAGCAGGAACCCTTAAAAAACCGATCAGGAAAGTATCCACGAAACCCGCCAATTCTTCGTCCAAACCCAACAAAGGCAAGCGTAAGACAAAATTTACCAAATCTAGTTCAGAATCTCACTCGGCCCCACCAATTAGCGCTTCCCTCTCAAGTTTTTTGAAAAAATGGCCAATCTTGACCCCAGATTTCTTCCAAATCGACGCTCTCGATCTCGCCCCGCGATTGCTCGGCAAGTTTCTGAGGAGAGACGATGTTGTTCTTCAGATTACTGAGGTAATCACTACTGTGCCTTAATAATAATGTGTTGCTTGTCAGTAAGAGCGCAAAAACTTCAAACTTGATGGTTTATTTCATTAGGTCTTCTCGTATCTGGTCGGAAAATGTTTGGCCCTGTTTAATTTCTGGGATGGGTAATCAATTTATTTCGTGTCTCACAAATGCGGGGTGTTGGCTTTGTTGTAGGTGGAAGCTTATAGGCAAAATGATTCAGCCTGCCACGGTCGATTCGGAGTAACAGCAAGGACTGCTCCTGTGGTAGGATTTAATGGCTGCAATTTTAGTTTATGGTTACATTACTATTAATTTATCAAAGTGAAATTTTGACTTATAGAAGCTTAAATTGTTGTAAATCCAATTATGTATGCAAGATAATTTCATATCCATACAGAACACAACTGAAGAAGGGGAATTCAGCTATTCACCCCTCCTTGAAAAAGAAACAGTGCATAAACCAATACTTATATGTTGCGGTCTGGGGCATGAATATGAATTTGTATTGTCAAACCTGTCAATTACTTCTCTAAGTTAGTATTAAAAGTATGCAATAATGCAGAGAAAATAGTGTTGAAGTTTAACTATTTAATTCAGTTTTACTGTGAAATGATTGTGCCTTTAATTTAGAAAAAATGCCCTTAAAGTCGTTATAGCCCATTTGATGGGTTAAAAAAGATGAAATTAATGAATTTGCTGAAATTGTCCAATATGATGAATGTCTTTTTATGTATGTATGTGTATCAAAACTTAGTTGTTATATGTTTTAATCAATAACATGAAATACATCCTCTGTCTACACATGTTCCTCCACTTTTAGTTTTGCATTAGTTTTTAGGAGGGTGGCTTTGCCATGTGGGAAGAGTGAGAATATGGTAAACGTTAGGAAAGAGAGAGGGAGAGAGAGAGAGAGAGAGAGAGAGAGAGAGAGAGAGAGAGAGAGTTTAATGGTCAAATTTTACTAAACAGAAATGCCAAGAACTTTTTTGGAGGTGCAAAAAATGAGAGCAGGAAAAAACATTTGGAGATGGAGGGAATAATAACTAGACACGATCACATAATGTGTCTTTAACGGACCATGACCATTCTTTTTTGCTCAAGAGTGGCCATGATGTATGTTACAGACCAATTCTATGGTTGGATATATCAACGTAGAAACTGGATGATCAGGAAGGGTGAATCTGGAATCCAAAGTGGCTGAGAATGAAATCTTTGACCTGGCAGTTTTAGGCAGCTTCCTAATCAGCAGCTTCCTAATTATCATTTATCTCTTTCTTTAATTATTCCTAGTTTCCTATTCAACAGTTTCCTAATTAACATTTATCTCTTTTCAATAATTATTCCTATTATGCTTTAGGAAACTTCTTAATTAGCATTTATTTCCTTTTAGAATTAGGACTCTTGCAATAACTATGTAAGGGTCATTAGTATTATTCAATAAACAGCTTTGGAAAATTAATTCTTGGATCTCTGAAATACTTCCAAGATCATATTAATTCCACTGAGCCCTTTCTTTTAATTCTTCCAGACTTCCAATTAATATGTTCATCATAGATTCCAAATTACAGAATTCTCTAAGCTCTCATTCCCAGCCAGTCTCTCTTTCTCGATGTGGACGAGATCTTGTACGTCTGCCCTTAACAATGTACTCATAGTCTCAATAATGTCCCGTAGTAACTGAAGTCATATATTCACATTTTTGTTCATAAGTTCTATTTAAGTAATATTATAGGAAAAGAACTTGAATAACTACTATATGATGTACACAGGTCTTTTATTTTCTTCTACCAAAGTAACTTAGCACTAAGTTTTCTTATTATCAACCGATTCAGTTAATTCAAGAAGATATCTCGGTGTTTGAAAAAAAGCTGGCTTATTGCGGACCAATAAACCGAATAGGGAATCAAATAGAAGCTATATTTATCTGGTACTGATGAAAATCATGCAAATTTATTGCAATTGTTCTTGCGATGTTATTTCCTTAATCCTGGGTGCCTCAATTGAATAGTGATACATGCAAACTTGGAGGCTAAAAGTATCTCTCAATTAATTCATAGTGCTTTGGAACTGAATCTGCACCTATTTCTTGTATCAAATTTGGAATAACCTTTCTGTTTTTACAACAACATCCAAACCTTATTCCCAAAATAATCTTTCTTTAATATGTCAAAAAACCAATTTCAACATTAGCAATCACACTACATGAAGTTGAGTACAGCGCCATAATGGATATGATGATAAACATTTAAGATGTTGTTTTGATTGTGTTGATTTTGCGACTTTAGTGCCGTTATGTATCACTCTTCCTTTCTTCTATCGGACAATCACCTTTTCATCTTTATCAATATTTGTTTAGACTGGGTGAAGCAATATCCAAACCTACAAAACCATTAAGTGTATTGCAATTTAAGTCCAATTACAGCAAGTAGGAATGTGAACCTGTTCACTAACCACTAAGGATGTTTGTACTTGGACTGAAATTTTCTGGTCTGATCTGGTCTGGTTTGTTTAAGTCTGGTCTGAACTGGGTAGATGTTTGGTCTCTGTGTATTTTATAGCGGCAGAAGTTTGGTTATTTCTGGTCCGTTAAAGTTTGGTCTGGTCTGGGATTGAAATAAGTCCAAGTAAAAAACATCCTAATAGTGTGTTTGGGAGAGCTGAAAAATTATAAAGAATACTAGTATAAAGAATCAATGATTGAAAAAGAATCATAAACTACTAACATACATATTCAAACAAACATTTTTTTTTCAAAACAATTAAGCTGATTATAGATATAAGTTCCTCAGGTACTCCTTAAAACACTACTTCATCTAAAAAAGCTTGTAATCTAATAGAGAGCTTCTAATCTGGATATAAGCTGTCCGAAACATTCTCTAATAAGTCTTTTATAATGTTTGGTACTATGGTAAGTAGCTCTGCTTGAGCAATATCTCAGTCTGGTAGTTTTTGTAAAGTGCCTTGAATTTATTGACACAAATAGTTCGGCCGTGGTGGACATGCATATGTATACCTTTGCTATGGAATGCATTTCATGCTAAATGTTGTAGCAGACAAAGAAGGGATAGGAGCAGCTGTCTTGATTCGTTCTTGTGCTCCCATCTTTGGTAATAATTGTACCAAACTCTTCCCAAATGATTTGAAATCTTTAATTTGTGTATTTTCGGTTATGAATCCCCGTTTTGCTGTGCGTTTTACTTTACTGGTAATGTATACAGGGTTGGGAACCATTCAAGAACGACGTGGTTTAAAAACAGAGAAGCCTGTTCTTCTTTCTGGACCTGGAAAGGCGTGTGACAACTTACAATCTCAGTTTCACCATTTTGCCTAATTTTTAATCATTTGTGCGATTTATAGTAGTTTAGTCTTATACGTAGTATGTGAATTTTAGATAAAGTCTTTTAATTGCTAATTTTGTTATGAGTTTTTATTTTGATCAAAATTGCTGCCCTCGTTTCAATTCTTGTCAAAATTTTGCCTTGTCATCATGCCACGTTGTAGCAAAGTCATAAATCTAAAGACTGATAAAGTATGTTTTTTAATTTCACTCGTCTAGTTATCTGTCTTGTACTGATGAAGTATGATTTTTAATTTCACTCACTAGATGCCAAGGTGGCATGCTAATGAGAATTGAGAGACAATGTTGACAAGAGTTGAAATTTTGCATTTTGATCAGATTCAAAGCTCATGGTCAGTCTGGCAATCTGAAAGGATGACTAGATTCCAGAATTTGAACGAAAAAATAGATTTGTTTTGTAGGTAATAGTAATTAGGTTCAGTTTGATACGGAGTATAATCTTTTACTTTTACTCACATTCACTCCGTTGTGATCCCATTGATCTGAATTTGTTTGTAGGTTGGTCAAGCATTAGGGTTATTGACAGAATGGTCCAACCATCCCCTATATACTCCAGGTGAGCTTTCCCATCATTCTTTATATATTTTCATCTGGATAATGCCTGACTATAGAAATTGATATCAACTCATTTTTCTATATGGAATGTTTGCCAGGTGGTCTAGAAATTTTAGATGGACCAAATCCTGAAGAAATACTGGTGGGACCAAGAGTTGGTATTGACTATGCTTCTCCAACAGATGTTGATGCATTATGGAGATTTGCAATTGGAGGTTCCACTTGGATTAGTGCTCCTAAAAATACTCTTAGACCTCCTTGATTGTGGAGCACCAATGTATGTTTAATGCATGTATAGAAGAGAAACACATCTAAACATCATGGAAGCAGCAACATAAAATTTTTGACCCCCCCCCCCCCCCCCCTCCGCTGCATAGCACAAATGTAAACATAACTGTTGTCATTGAGCTGGACACGAGTAGTTGGGAGGAAACCACATAAGATTGTTTATTCTAATCTTGTTTGTGGCCTTTGTAAAGAAGGATCCAAGCTCTGGGATGGGGAATGGTGTTAAAGTTTGAGAATATGACATAAGAATAAAATTAAAAAAACAAAGTCTTGTGGTATGTTTGGATCACAAGCAATCAAGCATTCAGAAATTAAAAAAAAATGCTAAAGAAAGTTATATCTTGTACCAAGTATTGGTTTTTTTGTCCTCAAGAAAAAATGATGATCGATGTTTTAATTAGTACTGCATATGTTTAGAATTCTAAATCTTCGTTTTGAGTGTTTAGAATTATAAATCTATACATAATTGAAATAACAAAATTAGTTTTACACTTTTACCAGACTCCAAATATAAATTAATTTTTTTCTGTATTAACGTTTTTTTTCCTCCCGAGTTTCAGGCATATGTTCCAATCTTTTTCTGCATTCTGCAAAATGTAGGCATCACGAACTCGAAGTCATGAATGAGTTCTGGAAATGTGCATTTCAATAGAGCAATCATTCAGTTGATATATTATCCAATCCCTAAAGTTCCAACTCTCATAACTCAATTTTGATTACCAAGGTAATCCAAATAGCCTTGTGTCTTTGATATCTACGTTTCCATGTTAAAGGAGTTGCTGTAAAGAATATTCACTAGTGCACACATACAATAGTCCAGACTTTAGGCAAGAGAATGCCTCTCAATATAAAACATTTTTCCTTTCTCATCATCAGGCCAAGCAGAATTGCAGAAGTGACTTACCTTGGGCTAAACAAAAATATGTTACAAATAAACCACAGCTTTTACTAAATGAATAAAACGTGATCTAATAAAAAGCAATTGAATAAAAAACAATACATAACACTGCCAAAAGGAACTCGCCACACAGTAAATAAAACTCAAATCCTCACTTTAGCTTGTTGATGAAAGTGAAGAAATTCTGAAGTGGTTAAATGCCAGTGTGAACGTTCTGTACTTTCATGACAAATCTATATAAGCTTCCCACCCATATTGCCACGAAGATGACTGTAAAACTCTGTGAAGTGAAGTCTGAATATAAGAAACTTCAAATCAATGTGTTGTTGCACAGGCAATTGTGAAATGAACCCTTCTAGAAGGGATGAATATTCCTTTGAAGTCATGTCGATAACTTTTCCTGTTTTTTGAAGAAATTCACCAGCCCGTTGAGTTAGAGCCTTCCTACCCTCCCCAAGCCATGAACCACCACCACCTGGATCTGAAGAAGATTTAGACTTTCCTAGTGTTTTGACTCTGTCCTTAGGTATCATTGATGATTCAACAGTTCTGCAAGTGAAACACAGAAATTATAATAAGTTTATTATAGGAAACAGATAAAGAAGAGCACAGTTTCCGTCTAGCCATTTGCCTTAAGGTTATCATCCATATTATTTACCAAACGCTGATTTAATTTGCTGCATCTGTTGACTTGGTTTGTAATTAAAAAGGTACTATTTCACTGAAAACTAACTTATCAGAACCACAGGTATTTTCTTATGTAGAAGTTGCTGGAGATGATCCATTTTAGTCCATGTATCTTTACTTTATCAATAATATTCCACAGGTAATTTTTTTAATTAAATTAAGTAATTTTAACAACTTCAGCAATTTCTTCCAAATTCACCAATACCAAACAGGCTCATAGTGTTACTATATAGAGAAAGAATCCAATACCTAGATTGGAACTCGTTGATGCCTTCATATAATCTATCGACGTGACTCTGGAATTGTAATATGAAGTCAAGCAACACAAACAGAGTCTTATTAAGAGCTTGGGACCGTTCCCCCAGCATAGATTTTTCAACAATTGAAAACAAATAGTTTTCATGTGCAGCAAGCAGGTCATCGAGGTCTTTGGCCAACTCCATCTCGACAATTAAGTTAGACCAAGACACCTCAAGAACCTCAAACATGATGTAGTACTGCAAATTAGACACAAAATGGTTCATCTCATTCCACAAAACTTGACACTTCCTAGATGTCAAATCCAAATGCAGCTTCACATCATGTGGCAACTTATTATTATTAGAGAAAGAATGAGTTCCGCAATTTGGTTTCATTGTCTTCCAGGCAGCCGTAAGTGCATGCTCCACCCTTTTGAGCCTCCACAAGAAATTAAAGATTTTTAAATACCTTGCCATAACAGACTCTGTCAGAATGGTGTTTAGTGGGACCCGGGCATCGTATTCCAAGGAAAAAACATCCCAACCTCTGTCACCAGAGTTATGTGGCAACATCTTGACCCTCAATCTAACCAGTATATCCGGATCATCATACTGCGCATTGGACGATCTGATTGCACTTTCCAATAAACCGGCAAGCTTGAAAGAACTAATTGTGTTGGCTGGTTGGGATAGATCAGGTCCCACAATGTCCATTAGATACTGGACAAAGTCACCCTGCCCAAGAAGCAGATAGCGCTTTATAGCAAAACAGTGTTCCTTGAACTTATACCTGTTATGCATTACGTCAAGTAAATGTGTGTCTATTCTTTTTGCTGCTTCAGTGACCAGCGACTCAAGCGCGTCTGTCTCACCATACCTTAGATTGCCCCTAGAGGTTGTGGTCCCTGCAGCTGTGGCAGCTTCTGTTGCTGCTTCAGCCCAACCTCTATCCTCACAACAAACGCGGAGAAAATTTATTGACTTTCCTGTCCTTAGAATCTGTTGTGCGAGGGTCTGTGAGATAAAAGAAGGAAGCATTGCAGAGTGAAGGCGGTAACCTTCCCTCCATAGTGACTCTGCTTTCACTGGTTGACTAACGATGAAAAACTCCGAAAATAAATCTTCGAGCTCTCCTTCGAGAACCCATCTCCTTACCATCTCAAAAAGAGGGGAACAAACCCTGTGGAGCAATCTCTTCATGAAATCCTTCACAAGTGGGTCCCCATGCTGAGCGTGAATGTGGATCGCCCCAGCCATTGATCCACCTTTCAAAACTTTGCAGTTGTCGACCAAGACAGCCATTAATCTCATCTTTACTATTGGTTCGGCAAACCAAACAGAGAGTCTTCTTAAGGAGAGGTAATTGCCTGAAGTTGCATTTTCTGAAACTAAAGGGATGGGATTCATTGATTGAGCTTCAAGAACTGACAATAGCTTGAAATAATCGGATAGCTCATCTTGTAAGACTGCACAAAAAGCTTGTCCCACGGTGCCTATATCATCTGCAGGGAATCTATCCATGCTTTCTGAACTATACTTGTTGACTTTCTTGAAAAGCCACCCAAGCTCACAGAGCTTTCTAATCATGGTTCTAGTCGCCCTTGGAGCTTTTACCAAATCTGGAAGAACATAGCCGTCCTCGTTCATATCAAACTTCACATACTTACCATCTATACCTTGACAAGCATACAAGACATCACGGACCAAAACCTCCTCTGAAACCTCATTCTCTTCCTTCAACAAGTTTGTGAATTCGCGATAAGCCATATCACGCAAATTCTCTGGATCTTTTGAAACCATCAACACCCCTCCATGCCAACCCTTCTCCGTGTTATCTCTTCCCCTCATGCTCCTTGAATTCCGATAATCCTCACATGGTGGACCATGAGTAGAATTCTTCTCTGCCTTTCCTGCACTGATTGAATATCCCGAATTTACATCCAAATCCCTCAATGATTTAGGATAACCCAATGTGCTCACAGAGTTAGAAGCGGAATTTACATGTCGAGAGTTGAAATTTGAGTGTCCGTCAGACAACACAGGTAGTCCACCAGTCACGGCTGAGCTGAAGGCCCCAATTGAAACCCCGCATAGGGGCTGACTCTTTCGTGCTACTCTATCCTCGGAGATGGTTTTGATCAAATAGAGAAGGGCCCACTTGTTCTTAACACTTCCAGGGCCAGTTTTGGAGGAGAATTTCGCAAAGAGATCGGCAAAAGTGAGGGCTTCGGAGGACTTACCTTGAGTGGCCAATTGGCGCTTAATGGACTCGGCCATGGCCGCCTCATCTGCAGCAATTTTGGGAGTCATGCGGCAGGAGAGGATGCGAATGGCGTACTTCAGAGCTTGCTGGTACTGCTGCTCGGATGGGCTAGGGTTAGGGTTAGAGGCTGAAGTAGTGGCAGGCTGCAATGAGGTGCAGAGTAAACGGTGGACTAGCTCTTTCACTAGATCTAAAGTTCTCTGGTCGTCATCTGCCATAGTTGCCGGAGGAAGATTCCTGCCGGCGAATAGTAGCGGTTTGCGAGGATTTTGTATTTTGATTTTGATATATCATGGGCGCGGAAAATTATTAAATTGGATAATCACCATTCTGCCTTATAATATGATAATGTAGTTTTAACTTTTAAACATCATTGAATAACACAGTTGATAAAATGATAAGTACGGAGTAACATTTTACCAAAAAAATGACAAGTAACATTTGTGAATTGTGATTGAAATATAAGTGGATAAAGTAAACTGATACAAGCAAAGTATTTCTTGTTAGAGGAAAAATAAGACATTTAATTAAGATAATTCAAAAAAAGAAAAGAAAATAAGACATATAAAATGAGACGTAAAAAACACTTCGTATTTCATAATAAATTTCATAATAAAAGAATGATCTCCTTTTATGACTCGAATCGGTTAACCACCGGAACAAGGATCAAGCCAGTGATTAAACAAATGGAATATTGAATGAATTCTACTCCATATAATTTATAGGTATATAAAAATATAATGTGTTCTAATATAATCTAGTTCAACCAAACAAAATAAATCAAGAGAACAAGCCATTAGAGTGTCTTGCGGAAGAGCCTTATCTAGACAACAATGATGGGCAAACGGGTGCTCCACAACTTGCTCTCGAGTTGTTATGATTTTGGATCCGGTCATCCAAAAGTTAATGTGACCATCATAACATATATGTTGGGCTACATCAATCTCATACTCTCATGGAGTCTTGATACAATTAATAACATTTTCCAAAGAATATAGAAGAATTTGGCATTTTATTAAATATTTTATCAATTTTTGCAAAGTTTCCTAACCTATTATATAATATGTTCTATGTTAAGATTAATATTGTTAAACTGGATGAGATTTGAACATGTGACCTCATGTTTAAGAGTGTCTCATGTCATCCTATCACGAGATATTGATTATTAAATATTTGATCTATAACATCACAAATTAAATACTTCGTATTACATATGGATAGTAATGAATTGAATTTCTTGAAAAGTTACCGGTTTCTTCTCATTGTATAGGCCTTCGAAAGCAATCACAAGTCAAATATGATTCAACGCTACATATTATTATTGAAGGTACTTCATTTTTGTTAACAATGGACTATCCCGGCTTCGGCAGACTCGTGTTAGCCCTCTCAAGAGAGTAATATTTGAGTCCTTCAAATAATTCGTCAAATTCCCAATGTTGTATGTACACCTCTGCACAAGAATCTATTCTCAACTCAGTGACGGAGGTTGGGGCCAGGAATGACAGGTTACGGGGTGGAGCTTAAAGAATTTATATAAATATTATATTACTTATAAATATTTATACATATATAGATACATCCAGTGTTCTAAAAGGCTTCAAAAGGCGCCGCTTATGCGGGCCTAGGCGAGACGCAGCCCACAAACGCCCCGCCTCCATAAAAAGCGTGACAAAACGCGGCCCAGCTTACTAATTTTGAAATTTTATTTTGGTTTTAGCCCAAACCGGAGAATTAATTATTCCCAATGAAGCCAGATGTCAAGCATATTTCGCATAGGCCTTGGACTTGCGAACTTGCTTAGGTTACTAAAGGCAAAGACGTTATTTTTATATAGAGAAGTAGAAGCAAGACTCTTGACTACTTCCGGTGTGGGAAATCCAAAAGAGTAATTTGATTTCAAAGACTACAACTACATACGGTCAGTGGCGTGGAGTTTCATCAAGACATAGCTTTTAGCATGTACTCCGTATAATCGATACGTATTACCAACTCTACATCTTCACATATATAGCTTAATTAATAGTAATGTTAAATATAATATTGAAAAATAAATATGAATATTACTATCAGGGTTTTTTATAAGAATATTACCAAAATAAAACTTATTTACATTAATATGACTATTCATTACTACAACGTAGTGTTGTGGTAACTTAAGTTCAAAATTTGAACATAAATTACTATGATTTCATTACTACTCTAGTAACTAGTCATATTTTTGTAAACCATCTTTATTTTGGTCATATTTATATAATTATTTCTTACTATAATATATCTTCATTACTAATGTCACGAATATAATAATAATACTATAATAGTAATAATAATTATAATAATAATATAATAATAATAATGCTAATAATAACAATAATAATAATAGTTATTGTTGTTGTTCATTAACATCATTATTTTATTATTTTTAGAACTCTAGACACCTATATTCGTGTCCATATGTAAAAGTGTGATGCTTATGCATAATATTTATCTAATATTACATTAATATATTTACTAATGTCTCTATAAAAATTTATACATTAGTAAAAAAACTAAAACGCCTTTTCGCGCCTTTTCCCCGCCTAAACCCGCCTAGGCCTCAAAGGCCCAAGGCCTGATCACGCCGCCTTGCGACGCCTTGCGCCTTTTAGAACACTGGATACATCACAATTTTTTTCTTACAAGGGTCAAGGCCACAGCCAGCCTCCCCTGTCTCAACTCATTACACATGCTCGCTTGTTCCAACGAAGTTCCAAAGAGAATGCGACTGATTGATCAACATTGTCATATTCCTAGCAAGAAACTATCACATTCCTATTAATTTACGGTGCGAGAAAACATTTATTACGCGACTACTAAAGTTAGCCTCTGTGAGTTAGGAACTTAAATCTAGTTACTTCATTTATAATGTTACTCTTGATATAAGTGGTGTAATTTTATAATATTATTTGTATGATTTAATGTTTTTTTGGATTTGGGTGTTTATATTTACAATCTATGGGGCACTTTTTGAGAGTTGATGGGCAAATTTGAAAGTAAAATTTAATACTACGTATTTATTAATTAGTCTGCAAAAATATAAAGTTACACACAATTATGTTTTTCTTATTTGAATATTTATTGTAAATTTGTAATAAATCTTGAATGGGGAAAAGTAGAGAGAAAAGTATAACAATATAATAACCAATGGAACATGGGCATATAGAAGGCAGACACGTTGCATATATATTGTGTGTTAGTTTTAACGGTTAAAAAGGTTCCCAACCTGTTTTCCCGCAAATGGAAAATCTCTTTCATTTTCCCCACCCATTCCTACCATCACAGACCACCTACAGAAAAAGAAAAGAGAAGAAAAAGAGGAAAGCATTCCACACTTTCTTTTTCTTCATCTTTTTTTTTTAATTTTCTCCTAGCTTCTATCTGCCTCCATTCCATTCTTCCCCATACAGATCCATTTTTTGCATCTCTCAAGGCCAGGAGCAGTTTATAGATTTATGTTCAGCACATTGACTCAGATTTTTATAATCCTGGGAATATAGCTACATTCTTATTCACCTACAAGGAATAAAAGGACCTGATCAACCCTAGCCTTAATGTTGATTTGGATGAGGATTGTTCAGATTGGCATTTAATATATATCTATATTATATATATGTATGTTTATACATATATATAATTTTTCGGCGTAGATCTGGTTGCAATTATTTGATATAAAAAAATGTCGTGTTGCGGAGGAGGCGAGCTAGAGGACTATAGTGGTCCCCCTGCTAATCAAAGCACGGCTCCTCCTAAGGCTGGTCACCCGTATCACGGTGGCGCTGGTGCTGGTATGTCTCACTTTTTTTCTCTTATTATGTGAGCTACAGATGCTGAAGTTCTTGTCTCATATGAGTTGAATGTAAATAGATATAATCTATTAAGATAGAACTCGAGGCTTAGTATTAGGAATTGATTGTTTATGATATGTTTATCTGTCTCGCACTCACCGTTTGTGGTATCCTATATGTTTTAGGGCCATTAATAACTTTAACTCCTAAAGTTTTTCGGCCCGATTCGGATGAGAACCTGACCGCTCCTTGTATGAAGTTTAGATATGGAACCCAAATCTTAATAATCATTTCTGAAATTGCATTTTGTTCCCTTTTTGGTCATTGTCTACATCATAATAATCGATCTGATTCTATTAAATTTATAACATAAAAAAAACTCTTGTGTTATATTAAAATTGGTGTAGCTGGTGAAAGAGAGCCAAGGTCATCAGGGGCAATGAGAAGTGGAGCACCTCAGAAAGCTCTGCCTATAGAGATACCTGTAATGCGTTTGGATGAGCTAAATAAATTAACAGGCAATTTTGGTCAAAAGGCTTTGGTGGGTGAAGGATCGTATGGCCGCGTTTTCTCTGCAACGTTAAGCAATGGCCAACAAGTTGCAATCAAGAAGTTGGACACCAGTTCTTCACCTGAGCCTGATTCTGACTTTGCAGCACAGGTGAAGACCAATGCTCCTAAATACATACTTCATATGTCCTTAGCTACTCTATTCACTCGAATACTATTTAAGACAGAGCTTCAAGTCTTAATATTAATATCAGAACTTCAAGTCCTAATATTATTATCAAAGGTGGTTGGCTATGTAGTTGCCCTCTATGAAAAATACACAGTAGTCTAGACGAAGCGAAGAGTTGTGAAAGAATGTACCGTTATAAATAAATGTGCTACCAGACGAGAGAGATTAGACCATAAAGGGCCCGTGACCCTATGTAAAAATTTATATGATCATGATGAGGTGTCTACTATGAGAAGAGGTGCAGTAGACAACTTATATGATTTGTCACACGGCTAAATGTGAAATCTTGACATTTTTCTAATGGTTATATATAATGCAGTTGTCAACAGTTTCAAGACTGAAGAATGATCATTTTGTGGCTCTTCTTGGGTATTGTCTCGAGGCAGATAACCGAATTCTTGTATACGAGTTTGCAACTTCAGGATCTTTGCATGATGTTCTACATGGTGTGCTCATAATTATGATTATCATATTTTGCTGGATGACACCTTTTGAGTCGAGGCTAGATTATTATTCATTAATTATTTGTGTATGTTTTTGGGATATTGAAGGAAGGAAAGGGGTACAAGGTGCGGAGCCAGGTCCGGTTCTTGCCTGGAATCAGAGAGTTAAGATTGCTTATGGGGCTGCAAGAGGGCTTGAATATCTGCATGAAAAAGTTCAGCCTCCCATCGTTCATCGAGATATCAGATCCAGCAATGTCCTCCTCTTTGATGATTTTACAGCCAAACTTGCTGATTTCAACTTGACAAATCAGTCATCTGATACTGCTGCCCGCTTGCATTC